TTTCGCGCGTGACGTCCCATTGTGGGGACAGGTTTATTCGCTCCGCGCATTTGCGCAATCGGCTCCTTATTGCCACTGAATCTGCCCTTCATACCACAGGTACATACTCATAACCGTCCTATTCATGCAAAAAAAGTAAGGAATCGATTTCGGGAAGTTAGTCTGCGGGCACGTCTCCTATTTGTAGATCCGCTCCTTACCGGTGCTCGTCGCCAGCGTTGTATGGCTTTGGTGGCGGTACATGCCCCCAGAATATGCCCGTTGAAGCAATGGGCCTTGCTTACTGATGAGTCCCAGTTTACCCTATTTCGGGCAGACGGTTGATGTCGTGTATACTGACGTCGTGGAGAACATTTTGCAGACTGATGCGTAGTAGAGACGGGTATGTTTTGGGGTGGAACGGTTATGTGTGGTGGGAAATCTCGCATTGAGTTAAATCACCACTGGTTGTGTTAGCGGATAATTTACCTGCCGTTACGTATAGAGATGAAATCCTCCGACCCCATGTTGTCCCATTATTGCAGCAAAAACAACCTCACATTCCAGCAGGATACTGCTCAACCAAAGCAGCGAGGATCTGTCATACAGCCCCGACCTATCCCCTGTTGTGCATTTGTGGGACCAACTGTTAGACATATTCGGCCACGTAAGCCTCCCTCTCCTACTCTTGACAAATTTGAAGAATGGGCCAACAACCCCATGATGAGGATAAACTCATTCATAAACCCCATGCCTAGGATAATCATGACTGTGGAGAGAGCGAATGGGGGACATACCAGGTAATAGCCAGCTTCCACAATAGATCCATTTCAATTTCAGATGACAGTGTTATTTTTCAATTCCTTCAAGTACCCCTAAATTACTAACCAGTTACAAATAATTGATTTAGCAGTTTTTTTTCCTGTATGGATTAATCTCTATTCTTCGTCATCTTCAAAGTTTACACTGCGTTTCCCTTGAGAATATTTATACCTCATGTCTATGCGTCAAACCTTTGTAATAACAAATCATGGTTTCATATCAGATGTTTATTTATTATTATTTTTTTTTAATATTTTAATAATTTAGGTAATAAGGAGATTTAACCACTTTTATACATGCTCACTAATACCATTATACGAAAAAAAACATGAAAAAAGTCTTTGCTAAACTGTAGTATTTGGTATTGAACATGTATTAGCTTTACATACCTTACCGACACACAGCGTTTAATAATTTTGTTTCTGAACGATCCAAATAAAAAGTTATTGTCATTTTCTGTTTGCCGTGCTTCAGTGAGTGATCGAGCCTTTGTTATGACGTACTCATTTTGTATGTATACATTGTGTGTTGTGATATTGCTAAGCATGATAGTACATGTGTAATATTATCGCATGTGAAAGAAACCCTTTGGTGTACGTTCTATTGGTTCTTAAAATCGGGTATATCAACATGAAGTCTACATGCAGTGTCTATATCATCTCTGTCTGTCAAAACAGATAATGCACAAATTTAAAAGCAACTTAACTATAGAAACTTTCAAGGCTAGCGTACGTATTAATTTCACTGTTTGTATTGTGTCGGCACACCTGTAAGTATCATTACATAACTGGCGTCACAAATTACTCATAATCATGGTTCCTTAAGTTCTGACTACATTTAAAACTGTTCACATGTGTACGTAAACGTAGATGAGATCATTAATTATTATCATTTGAAATTCTTTCCTTTGTCATTTCTCTACATAACTATATACATGCAGCAAGTCAAAGATCTTAAAACCATAACCTTACTTAGATAAAAGAAAAGTACCATCAGCGTACAGGGACTTTACTGGATTGCAACATCTTACCTTCTATACCGCAGTCACACTTGCTACCGATTCCTTGTAGAGTTCTGCTTTAAAAGCATTCAACGTTTGGAACAAGTCATGACCAAATTCAAAACACGTGATACCCTATTAGTGACTGGCTATGTGGTCACGACAACGGCTGCGACAAAATATAATTAATCGCCGCCGATTTCTAATCGCCATAAATGTATTTTAGCTATTTTTCCCTTTTGTTACGGTATCTTTATTCGTCCAATAAATCACAGCCAAGGACAAAATTTGTGATTAACCAATAATGTACTTCATGTCTATGCGTCAATTGATTATTGACTTGAATAAGTTTCTGATGGACTGTCAATATCATATATAAAATCTTTTAAATACTTTTAAATAAGTTTGGTAATTAGGTATTTTAACCACATATATGCACGCACTACAATGCCGTAATATATAAAATATACAAAAACCTGAAGAATTGGTATTGAACATATATTAGCTATGTCCTATAAGGCAACATGACCGCTAAGTGTTCTATCTACTGTCATCGTAAAGTAGTTAGCATGGAACCAGCGTTCTTGAGTCCCGGTATCATTGCCGATGTTGTTTATTCGTTTGTGAGAAACGTTAAGGTATATATCTTTGTATTCAATTTTCCGACAATTTTCTTTCAAAGTAGTTCAAATTGCTCGCCGCGTAAGCAATCGGTCGGTACTAATCAGTTTGATGCTAAATCACTTTGTCTGCCCCACCACCGGGAACAAAAGATAACTTTTGAGGATCTGATTTCAATAAAGTTTGTATCATCCAAGACAAATCATCATAATTATCATACAGCTTGGTTGAAAGCTGTACATGTTGGTTTCGTTGTGGGTAAAGATAAGCGTCTGATCTAGAAGAGTCCATCCTGGTTACTATATACGACGGACGCAGTCAATAAATTTCTTATTTAAAGTCAAGACGTCATCAATATATCTGAAAGTGGCATTAAACGACTTTGCAAGGTCTTTGTGACCTGTTTTGCTAAGCTCTTCAATAAATGAAGCCTAGTATGAAAACAAAATTAAGTCAGCCAACAGAGGGGTGAAAATTGTTCTCCATAGATATACTAATAGTTTGTTGGAAAATCTTACCATCAAACATGATGAAAATATTGACAACCAGAAACCAGAAACTCGATCATTTTTTATGATTTTCCCTCCGTATATTTCTTCTTTGATTTGCACACACGGGGATATCATTTTCCTGGTCAATTAAGCGCAAAAACGCAGAATTCATGCCATGTCAATGACAGAGGCTATCGCTGGAAAATCTTATTGGTTGTCCATGTATGTAAGTTTTCAATTTGTTGGTATGGTCATGTGGCACTGGATTCATACTGCACTGTTGTTGATAAGGATATTGTAAGAAAAAAATTAAATGTACAACAATCAAATTCCATACCTACAACTTCATTGAACCAATAAGGACTGCGTGTCACATTTCTCGACATTTAACAATCGATAGCTTTATTCCTTCACGCAGTCAAGTAGTTGCTTGTTATTATCAATTCATATTCCTTTTACAAATAATAATGAACAAGTCAAACTTTTGTGCAATCTACGTTACATTCAAACTTTTGTTTTTTAAATGCCATTCAGATGTTGTTGCTGTTACATCCTTCATTATCTATGTCCTTGATTTCATGTGTGTCGTTGTCTAGCTCTTAGTTAACTTGTTCCCAGTTTGCTTTCTTCCAGATGTACAATTCCCTGGGTTTTTTTAAAATTTCTATCGATATCAGCTATAAATATGGCAGGGTATAGTGTATAACAGTGTATAAAGATGGTAATGAACTTACAGGATTTTTCAGGCGTGGCATACCCTTATCTACATAAAGGTGGGTGGAAAATAACGTAACTAGATTGCGATAAGATTAAAGTGAAAGTCAAATAGACTCATTCTTCTGATATGTTATTTATATCCTACAAGAGTGTTTCCAGAATCCTCTACCTTATTACATGCAGTTTCTCTAATAATGACATGGTGTTAAGAGAAGTGATCCTTTGAAGATATTCGATATCAACATCAAGGTAATTGATAAAAATCCAACATTCAATGAAGTAATCTTATAACCTGGAAGTTTGCTTGTTGGTTTTGTCGCCGTCTAGTACAGCCAGGGTCTTCCGAAGCGAGGTCTTCTTACAGAAGTAGATGACTATCTCACTACACAACAAACGGTAGATCCGTAGGTCCGTTTATCCCTGTTTATCCCAAGTTTTAAGTTAACCACAGAGAGACATATAGTCTTAAGGATTCTCACGACAAAGACTATAAATTAATCGCGGTAGTCAGTCAAAACCTTTCTGACTTGCACAAGGTTTTTGGCTAAAATACAACTTATTTAGATTCAGTCCAAGTAGTTGCTTCACGGTTATATATCAAAAAAAAAATTCTATCATCTGCTAATAGGAACATGCATGATTTAACCAGATTAAGTAGACCATAGACGAACTTTACGAACGGGGTCCGAGATCGTCTTGGATTAATATTCCAGACATCACAGTTGACCATTCTGAATGTTCTTCACTTATTGACACTTGCTGTTGTCTGTGTGTAAGGAAACTGTTTATCTATAATAGCAGATGGTCTGAAAATTGATTAGATATTTATCTTGCTTTTTAAAGCAATCTGTTTGTTCTCTGTCCCCAATGACTTGGAATGGATCATATTTCATGGTTTTTTTTTTTAATTTACCATCAAATTTAAAAAAAAAAAAAAAAAAACATAAAAAAAAGAACACAAACAAACAAACGAACAGCAAAAAAGAAAAAAAGAAAACACAAAATGTGTAATTAAATTCTTTTACAATCTAACTCAAATCTATTATTTGCCAAGCTTTCATTTTTCCATCATTACGAGAAAAATATAATTTTGGTTCAGTGTTGAACATACATTTACAGTGTTTAACTCACTTTCTAAATCTAAATTGTGCATGAAAAATGTATTCCTTAATATGCCTTAAATATCAATAAAGCTTATTATCATCATGAATTTTATGTTACTGTGAAAAAATATAACAAAATAAAAACGGAATCCCTTGTACTTAAAATAAACATTTTCTCATATTCTAAAAATAGAATTTAGTAGGTAAGCATTTACATGACCAAGACACAAGGTTCCCCAAGACGCCATTTTGTCCGATAACCACAAGGCTGTAGCATGGTGTTTGCAAAGTTGCATTGACTTGTGATCAAGCAATATGAGTTCAGGACTGTCCTGGAAAACTGGACGGGATGGTCGCAGGAATTTCGGAGGTACGTTTATGACGCTTAACAACGCTTTAATTTGAGTAGGCGTGAATGGTGTTTCAAGCACTTACTGCGACTTCAGACCAGCATCTGCCAGCTGGCAAGATTCGTCGCAAGTTATAAGTTTAAACATGTCATTAGCAGAGGAACATGGGCATGTATGTACCTCTATACTTGTGACAGGTTATGGCTATTGTAAAATTAGGCTTGGCCTATCATCTGATCAAACAACTACGGAGTTAATCAATATTGCTGAACTCTACTGTGTAGTTCTAACAACGGACATCATGCTTGTCTATGGATCATGACCTGTCATAGTTCTAAGGGTTCTGACTATCCTCTGCGATTGTTTTTTTGTGGTCTATAACCAAGGCAAAATAAAACTCAAGATAGATAGTCAGAACCCTTCTGACTAATCATGTTCTCTCTACTCAGAAATTAAACTCCTCTGAGCCCAAACCGAAAATTTCTGCCTCTAAAATGAAAATTTAATGTCAATATTCACATTTATTATGCAGTAACTGATAGTTATCTTTTTGCTGACTATGTTCATTTTAGACAATGGGTATATTGATGAAAGTGGCAGAAACAACACTTGTAGTTGGCTATTTTTAAGCCATTCTAGTGTGTTTTCTTCCCTCTTAGAAATTCGTCGCCATTACCAGTTCCACTAAAAACAGCTTGACGCCACTCTGAATAGCCCAAGTGAAGAGTATCGCGCTATTTTCGGTATTGATGGACAGTGCCAGCGTAGTAATAGTAAACTAAAAGGTCTGAAAAAGTGAATACGGCAAAATGAACTTGATTTGTTTTTAAATGAACCCTAGATTTCTGTGTAGGCTGGTGGAATAATTGTTTAATTCACTGCATCCATGCTAGATGTGTTTTTACCACTTTCATGGAAGTGCCCATTCTGTCTCTGAAATGTGCAGTCAGTAAAATATCCATAACAGCATAATAAATGTGAATATCAATTTAAAATCAGCATTTTAGTGACGGACATTATATGTCTACCCAAAGCCCAGCACAGTGATTTACAGGTAAGTCATAAGGGACATTGTGAAAATAAAAAATAATTAGATAAAATGGCAAGATTTGGTTGAGATATTAAATATATTTGAAACAAAAACTATGACTTTACTGTCTATACTACCTACAATGGTTTCTATGGTTATTGATAAACCGAATCACTTGTCAATCTTACCATTGTTTACAATGAAATACTTGTATTGTGTCAGGAAAATACAGCTGTCAGAAGGGCATTCTAAATTAGAATTTTTATTCACACAGATCACCCGTGAGTGATTTTATATACAGTACCTACCCCATTCATTGCATTACATCATACATGATGTTTTACCAAAAGTCTATGGTTTTAACAATATGTTTGATTTTTTTTCCAAATGTAATTCATAATGCTACATAATGTGTCAGTCAATGTTTGTGAATATCTGAATGTATTTACTGTCACAAACTTGGCAAAATCAGCTGGATAGTTATTAAGATTCAGTTTGAATGTTACTTTCAGTTTTATGAATGTTTTTCTTATCATTGCATTTTTTAACTTTACACTCTTGCTCACCATAATTATTGTATTGAATGAACATTTTAGACCATGACGACCGTTGGGTAGATCATGACAACAACAATGACCAAGGTGGACGAGGAGGGGGAAAGTACAACAACAGAGGCAAGACTCGAGGGAATCGTGGATTTGGTGGCTTTTACACTCCGACTCGTGGCAGTCGTAGTAGCTACCGCAACAAGTACACCTCAAACAGTCGATCATACAACAATAGGGGTTCGAGTAAGTATTGAATGACAATTATAGTGTTAAGAATAAGTAGAAAGTTTGTCCAGGCTCTTTCTGCTACACTATTAATCACTGGAAAATTCATACTTTGGGTATGAGTTCAGTAAGGTAGTGTGTCAGATGGAGATTTTAATTTGATAGATAGAAATACATTCCTGGACTCCAAATTTAAATATCTGTTTCCCAAATTCACAGCCATTATTGTTAAAATGTGTGTAAGAAAATAATTTGGTTGACTTAACAGTGCATAATTATGTCTTAATTATTCTCAATTAATTTTTTATATTTATATTGGATACAATTAGATTCTCCTAAACATAGAATAGTTGTTTTTTTGTGATGTATTGTACATTGTGTCATTATATGTACATGTTGCATTGTAACATACTACATGTCTGAGTCAGGCAATTTCCTCTACATATGTTACCGATACTTTCAACAATCTGTTGTTCTAGTCCATTTACTAATACATGTAATATGTGTTAATTCTTATGTTGGGTACTTGAAGTCAGTAAAGAAAATATATTTTACCTTGGTACTGTAGAATTGGTTGACATTCTGTCTGTATTGCTTTTGTTACAGGATGTAACATATAGAGTTAAATTTCGTACAGAGTTCATGTGCTTCATTGTATCTATTTGGAAAAAAATAAACAAAAAAAACCATGCCTTTATAGAATATAGTGATATACGTACATGTTTTGTAGGAGGAGGAAATTCAAGAGGTGGTTACAAAGGAAGTGGAGCAGCAGGAGGAAGTGGTGCAGGTCCTCGCAACAGACTAGATAGTGAGGGAGACTGTGACATGGAAAATGAAGGGTCTGGATCATCATCAAGATAGTGAGTATTTCATGGAAAGTTTCTTTAGGTTATGTAATAATGACATGAAAAAATTGGAAAGAAGTTAATAGAAAAAATCAAATTAAAGCCTTACAGGTATAGTGTATGTAATTTAGCCATTGTATTTTTAAGCTCTCCATACGGCCGACCGGATCGACGTGGCTCCAGAAATTCTAGGGGAGATTACTCCAGTAAAGGTAAGTGCTAATTGATTTATATACCAACATACTTTAATATAACATATTCTTTCTAATGCAATTCTGTTGTTCTAATATTGAAAATTTGATGGTAAGTTTCATAGCTATTTAACGATGATGTGGGTTTTGATTCTTATTTCAGGAGACTCAAGACGAGGAAGTGGCGGTTATTCAAACAGCGGAGGAAGATATTACAACAGTGGCCCGCAGTGGTACAAAGTTACGGTGAGTTACATCTATGTATTGTCTGTGTTGTATATTCCTTCATCTTTCTTTTCTACTACTAAGAAGAATATAACTTTCCAGTCTAACTGTAATGGGTTCAGTGTTTGTAATATGCTAGCCCAGAACTACATGTGTACAGACTATAATGTAGATTAAAGAACAAAAATAGAGACGTATCATAAATGCCAATATCAAATGTGAGATTTTTAATTATCTTGTCTTCCACAGATACCAAAAGGAAAGAAATCAGAAAAAGCAGTGCTACTTCGGTTGATAAATGAAAACATTTCCACTCCATTTATTCCACAAAATGTAAGTGTTATATAGTGTAAACAATATGTTTAGTTGATTTGTGTCTGTGGAATACTTGGGTCTATAACAATTACCCAGATCAGCTGTTTGCTAGCTATTTATAGGCTGTACCAAAGTTTACACCACAAAAATGCCCTACAACACACATAAACCCCTATGGAAAGGATATTAAATGTGTTTGGAAATGAAGTAGGTGATATTGTTATTTCACAAATACAGCCAAACCTCGCTATCTGGCACTCTGTAGGACCATGGGAAAACTTTGAGATAACTGAGCATTCTATTTAAGTGAGTTTGAATGCAAAGTAAGCATGAACCAATGAAATGCTTTGAATTGAACAGGGTCTTTGAGTCGTACAAGTTCTAGGTAAAAAGAGTCAACCGTACATGTATATGAGATAACTAGATAAAAAAGAAAACACAAGAAATGTTAAAAGATGTTGTGTTTTTAAATGACAGATTAGAACTGTTTCATGCAGATGTTACTTCTCTGCTTCTCTTTTGGATGAAAAATTATATTGTCGACACTGTACAATTTATGTCCTTTCATCCATAAGTTTCTTACACACCAATATTTTGCAATAAGGACATCTTTCCCTGACATAACTTAAAGATGTTTGAATACTTTCAATTATTCTATGGGAGATATCAGTGTAGTAGAAATGATCGCACATATTTTAAAGTTTTAAAGGTAACAAATTTCCAGCATACTTCTAGAATCAATAGCCTACCACCACCGACTTCCTATCAATATCTAAGTCTGTGGAACCACTGTCTCAGAGATCAATCAAGTTTCTTATATGATTTATCAAATGGACATTTGGAATGCTTTTCACTTTTGAAAATTACTTGATAACAATGAATTAATTTATGAAAACTTTAATGTGAAACAACACTGATTAGTGTAGAGTTAGCTTTTTAATGTAAATCCTGGTGGTGAGCTTACACTTTGTTCATAAGCATGGATTAGAAAATGGTAAAGAGTCTGAAAGATATATTGCTTAAGGAAATAATGTGAGTTCAGAAAACCATGTAGATGCAAACATAGCAGTCTTAAGATTATGTCATCAAATCTGTGCTAATAAAGGTTCATGAGAGTAATAGATTTGTCAACACCTATTCCGTTGAAACGAAACCTATTGTTGCTGATTGTGTTTGGAAATTGAAGGTGTGATTAGTTTATATTTTGACTTGAAAATGTTTAGATGATTTTTTATTTTGATGCATATAATCAGTATATATAGACGTGATAAAAAGACACTTCTCCTGGCTGCTAAGGTTTGAGTGAGTGCCTATAGGTTGAATTTTCCTTCTTTGTGATTTTCATCTCTACCTATACTGATGATTCTCATGAGACTACAGTGAGATTTGGCCTCTAGCCAGACATTCTACCACAAGTCTCCAGAGAAATTCTCTCTAGCCAAGGCTAGAAAGGTGACCATTAGTAGGACTCATGTGGTTAAAACATACACTTAGTATTTGAAAACTAATAATTTGCAGCACTTAAAGAAGTTATGAACTGATCAAATGTTATTGGTCATTATAGGGTAAGGTACTTTAAAAAGTAAGAAACAATAGTCAGTTGGGTAAACAAGCCAGTAATTGATTAGTTGTCAGAAGCCAGAATCTGATCATCAGTGTTGAAATTCTCAACCCATCCCCATGAACACAAGAAAATATTTAACCAATTTATAGAATTTAATACTTTAAACCTTTCACTGACCTATTACTGTGCACTACACTGCAAAAGGCGTAGATTTCAGAATTGATCGCATGTCAGGATTAGCAACATATTACCTTTGCAATCACACTCGTCCACCAAAATGATTATTTGAAGATCTTATTATGACTATATGTCTTAAACCTTCAGGTATTTATATCAGCATGACCAATCACTAAAGATCAAATGCTATTCTGTATATTGATATACCACTTCCTGTACACAGTGTCTCTGGGCATCCTTGACACTTTGATTTTTCAATATTCAGCAATATTACACAAAAGTGTCTTAAACTTGAGATGGAAAACAAGCTTAGAGCTTAAATTATTTCCTTTCCTAAATACATCAGATATAGGTATATTTCCAATATGAATAGTAATCCTATTGAAGAGTTTTCACACTGAAAACACTGCTGAAATAAGGTTGCTTTAATTGCAATTTCTTAATGTTGCTAATGTAGTTTGTTTATTTTGGATTGGTAAAATTATTGCCAAATTGTGATAGTGCACATAAATGTATGCCAAACTAAGTATGTTTGATAGCACATGTATTTAGACATTAATGATATCCTCCAGATTGTTGGTATATTGGTTTTGGTATCCTATTTTGATGGTGGTTTATTACAAACTGGCTGTCAGACAGAGCAAAGTTGAACTATTTTGTTTGTTTTTTATCATACTTTTTTTCATCAATTTTGGATTGGCCTTTTAGTCATAATATTGGGTGAAAAGTGATTATTTGAAAGTAATTTTCTATAGTGTTGTTTTCGAACAAATATGCTAAGATGTAAGAAAAGTTTAACTACCACTTAGTTCTTGAAATTGATGTCAAGTCCTTCTGAAACATGTTTAAAATTTTTGTTCCTAAAGCAAGTTTTTTGATGAAATATATTTGTGAACATTAAATCTCACTGGACACCTGCTGCCGATATTTCATGTATAACTTGTTAAGCAATAGCATTTTAAGTCAGAATTAATCCAGCTTGTTTTGCAATGCATTTGGTGTTGAATTATTTTGGGGTAAATCTGTTTTGATAGCCTGTCCTTGTGTGAGTAAGTCTTGTGGTGTGTATGCACTGACCCAACTGTGACTTCATTTGAAAGAATTTATTTGTAAATTACTAAGTATAGGTGAGTTGTAATCAACCAATTGTTTGCTTTACAAGATTTGATAACCTATTGATTGAACATAGATGCCTTGGTAAGTTTTGTGGTAGTCATATTTGTTCAGTGATAGACACAGTAATTACACAATATGTCTTGGCTGTAATACTTCTCCATGACATCAGTGATGAAATATTTCACTGATGTTAAAAATTTGCTCACTTTAGTGGCAACAAGAATATAACAAGAGAAAAACCACTGTTAGATAACATAACTGCTGTACAGTATTATTTCTGAAAAGTGAATTTTAAATATGATTGTAATTTGTAGTTCCACTTTGAGCAAGACAGTGCTGTGTTCCATATACAAGACAAAGATGTCGCAGATGCAGTCCGTGCCCAGAGTCAAAGACACACACTCCCAAATGGATTCAAGGTATAACAGATTCACCAATAATACTGCAGAGAATAGGGTTGGTTTCCAATTATATACTGCTGTCATTATCTGGAACATTTACTCAATGAGGTCAACATGGCTTCTTTTGTATGAGAATGTTTCTTTTTCTTAAGCCGAACTACTATTTAGCGATGTTTATTGTTGAGATAATCTTTTATATCGCGAGCAAATGTGTCATTATGTCTTTTTATGTATGTATAACACATTGGTGTAAAACATCACTTTACTTCAGGCAAGAAAATCTCCCCACAATATCATGTGCTTGATTTCTGATAAGCTGAGTTTGTCTGGAATTCCAGTTGAATGGGTGTTGTCATATTATCTGTTGTGTGAGAACATGTTTGTTCCTTGGAGATTCAGTTGTATACAGCATTATTTTTTTGTTTTATTGCAGTTGTGTTAACCTTACCAGTATTTGTTTACAGATGGCAATTATTGTGAAGTCTGTTATTGTTTACAGATGGTAGTTATTGTGAAGTCTGTTATTGTTTACAGATGGTAGTTATTGTGAAGTCTGTTATTGTTTACAGATGGTAGTTATTGTGAAGTCTGTTATTGTTTACAGATGGTAGTTATTGTGAAGTCTGTTATTGTTTACAGATGGTAGTTATTGTGAAGTCTGTTATTGTTTACAGATGGTAATTATTGTGAAGTCTGTTATTGTTTACAGATGGTAGTTATTGTGAAGTCTTATTGTTTACAGATGGTAGTTATTGTGAAGTCTGTTATTGTTTACAGATGGTAGTTATTGTGAAGTCTGTTATTGTTTACAGATGGTAGTTATTGTGAAGTCTGTTATTGTTTACAGATGGTAGTTATTGTGAAGTCTGTTATTGTTTACAGATGGTAGTTATTGTGAAGTCTGTTATTGTTTACAGATGGTAGTTATTGTGAAGTCTGTTATTGTTTACAGATGGTAGTTATTGTGAAGTCTGTTATTGTTTACAGATGGTAGTTATTGTGAAGTCTGTTATTGTTTACAGATGGTAATTATTGTGAAGTGTGTTATTGTTTACAGATGGTAATTATCATGAAGTGTGTTATTGTTTACAGATGGTAATTATTGTGAAGTCTGTTATTGTTTACAGATGGTAATTATTGTGAAGTCTGTTATTGTTTACAGATGGTAGTTATTGTGAAGTCTGTTATTGTTTACAGATGGTAGTTATTGTGAAGTCTGTTATTGTTTACAGATGGTAGTTATTGTGAAGTCTGTTATTGTTTACAGATGGTAGTTATTGTGAAGTCTGTTATTGTTTACAGATGGTAGTTATTGTGAAGTCTGTTATTGTTTACAGATGGTAGTTATTGTGAAGTCTGTTATTGTTTACAGATGGTAGTTATTGTGAAGTCTGTTATTGTTTACAGATGGTAGTTATTGTGAAGTCTGTTATTGTTTACAGATGGTAGTTATTGTGAAGTCTGTTATTGTTTACAGATGGTAGTTATTGTGAAGTCTGTTATTGTTTACAGATGGTAGTTATTGTGAAGTCTGTTATTGTTTACAGATGGTAGTTATTGTGAAGTCTGTTATTGTTTACAGATGGTAGTTATTGTGAAGTCTGTTATTGTTTACAGATGGTAGTTATTGTGAAGTCTGTTATTGTTTACAGATGGTAGTTATTGTGAAGTCTTATTGTTTACAGATGGTAGTTATTGTGAAGTCTGTTATTGTTTACAGATGGTAGTTATTGTGAAGTCTGTTATTGTTTACAGATGGTAGTTATTGTGAAGTCTGTTATTGTTTACAGATGTTAGTTATTGTGAAGTCTTATTGTTTACAGATGGTAGTTATTGTGAAGTCTGTTATTGTTTACAGATGGTAGTTATTGTGAAGTCTGTTATTGTTTACAGATGGTAGTTATTGTGAAGTCTGTTATTGTTTACAGATGGTAGTTATTGTGAAGTCTGTTATTGTTTACAGATGGTAGTTATTGTGAAGTCTGTTATTGTTTACAGATGTTATTGTTTACAGATGGTAGTTATTGTGAAGTCTGTTATTGTTTACAGATGGTAGTTATTGTGAAGTCTGTTATTGTTTACAGATGGTAGTTATTGTGAAGTCTGTTATTGTTTACAGATGGTAATTATTGTGAAGTCTGTTATTGTTTACAGATGGTAATTATCATGGTAGTTATTGTGAAGTGTGTTATTGTTTACAGATGGTAATTATTGTGAAGTCTGTTATTGTTTACGTGAAGTCTTATTGTTTACAGATGGTTATTATTGTGAAGCCTTCCTCGCCACCATTAAACTACATGGACAAAGAGACAATAGAAAAACTGAAGGTACTAATAACATGAAAACTTAGAGTCAAAGATCATTCCTATAATGAATTACTTTAATGCATATCTCTAATTGTCAGTAAAATTATGATCAATCTCAGATATGAGATGAAAAAAAATTATAAAGAAGTTCGGACATCAGTATAAAGTAAATTTATTTTAACCAAATATGGCTAAAATTTCTGTATTTTGTTACCAGGCGACCATGAGTAGGCGATATGACTCCAGTGCTAAGATGCTAGACCTTAGTAATCTTTACCAGGACTCAGGTAAAGTATTACCACACCACACTAACTGGCTGGTGATGAAGTATTACCACATCACACTAACTGGCTCGTGATGAAGTATTACCACATCACACTAACTGGCTGGTGATGAAGTATTACAACATCACACTAGCTAGCTGGTGATAAAGTATTACCACATCACACTAACTGGCTGGTGATGAAGTATTACCACATCACACTTACTGGCTGGTGATGAAGTATTATCACATCACACTTACTGGCTGGTGATGAAGTTTTACAACATCACACTAACTGGCTGGTGATGAAGTATTATCACATCACACTTACTGGCTGGTGATGAAGTATCACATCACACTTACTGGCTGGTGATGAAGTATTACCACGTCACACTTACTGGCTGGTGATGAAGTATTATCACATCACACTTACTGGCTGGTGATGAAGTATCACATCACACTTACTGGCTTGTGATGAAGTATTACCACATCACACTAACTGGCTGGTGATGAAGTATTATCACATCACACTTACTGGCTGGTGAGGAAGTATTATCACATCACACTTACTGGCTGGTGATGAAGTTTTACCACATCACACTAACTGGCTGGTGATGAATTATTACCACATCACACTAACTGGCTCGTGATAAAGTATTACCACATCACACTAACTGGCTGGTGATGAAGTGTTACCACATCACACTAGCTGGCTGGTGATGAAGTATTACCACATCACACTAGCTGGCTGGTGATGAAGTATTACAACATCACACTAACTGGCTCGTGATAAAGTATTACCACATCACACTAACTGGCTGGTGATGAAGTATTATCACATCACACTAACTGGCTGGTGATGAAGTTTTACAACATCACACTAGCTGGCTGGTGATGAAGTATTACAACATCACACTAACTGGCTCGTGATAAAGTATTACCACATCACACTAACTGGCTGGTGATGAAGTATTATCACATCAGACTAACTGGCTGGTGATGAAGTTTTACAACATCACACTAACTGGCTCGTGATGAAGTATTACCACATCACACTAACTGGCTGGTGATGAAGTATTACCCCATCACAATAACTGGCTGGTGATGAAGTATTACCACATCACACTAACTGGCTGGTGATGAAGTATTACCACATCACACTAACTGGCTGGTGATGAAGTATTATCACATCACACTTACTGGCTGGTGAGGAAGTATTATCACATCACACTTACTGGCTGGTGATGAAGTTTTACCACATCACACTAACTGGCTGGTGATGAAGTATTACCACGTCACACTTACTGGCTTGTGATGAAGTATTACCACATCACACTAGCTGGCTGGTGATGAAGTATTACAACATCACACTAGCTGGCTGGTGATGAAGTATTACCACATCACACTAACTGGCTGGTGATGAAGTATTACCACATCACACTAACTGGCTGGTGATGAAGTATTATCACATCACACTTACTGGCTGGTGAGGAAGTATTATCACATCACACTTACTGGCTGGTGATGAAGTTTTACCACATCACACTAACTGGCTGGTGATGAAGTATTACCACGTCACACTTACTGGCTTGTGATGAAGTATTACCACATCACACTAGCTGGCTGGTGATGAAGTATTACAACATCACACTAGCTGGCTGGTGATGAAGTATTACAACATCACACTAACTGGCTGGTGATGAAGTATTACCACATCACACTAACTGGCTCGTGATAAAGTATTACCACATCACTCTAACTGGCTGGTGATGAAGTATTACCACATCACACTAACTGGCTCGTGATGAAGTTTTACAACATCACACTAGCTGGCTGGTGATGAAGTATTACAACATCACACTAGCTGGCTGGTGATGAAGTATTACAACATCACACTAACTGGCTCGTGATAAAGTATTACCACATCACACTAACTGGCTGGTGATGAAGTATTATCACATCACACTAACTGGCTGGTGATGAAGTTTTACAACATCACACTAGCTGGCTGGTGATGAAGTATTACAACATCACACTAACTGGCTGGTGATGAAGTATTACCACGTCACACTTACTGGCTTGTGATGAAGTATTACCACATCACACTAGCTGGCTGGTGATGAAGTATTACAACATCACACTAGCTGGCTGGTGATGAAGTATTACAACATCACACTAACTGGCTGGTGAGGAAGTATTACCACATCACACTAACTGGCTCGTGATAAAGTATTACCACATCACACTAACTGGCTGGTGATGAAGTATTACCACATCACACTAACTGGCTGGTGATGAAGTATTACCACATCACACTAGCTGGCTGGTGATGAAGTATTACAACATCACACTAACTGGCTCGTGATGAAGTATTACCACATCACACTAACTGGCTGGTGATGAAGTATTACCCCATCACAATAACTGGCTGGTGATGAAGTATTACCACATCACACTAACTGGCTGGTGATGAAGTATTATCACATCACAATAACTGGCTGGTGATGAAGTATTACCACATCACACTAACTGGCTGGTGATGAAGTATTATCACATCACACTAACTGGCTGGTGATGAAGTTTTACCACATCACACTAACTGGCTGGTGATGAAGTATTACCACATCACACTAACTGGCTCGTGATGAAGTATTACCACATCACACTTACTAGCCAGTGATTAATTGTCACCACATCACACTTACTAGCCAGTGATTAATTGTCACCACATAATACTTACTAGCCAGTGATTAATTGTCACCACATCACACTTACAAGCCAGTGATTAATTGTCACCATATCACACTTACTAGCCAGTGATTAATTGTCACCACATCACACTTACTAGCCAGTGATTAATTGTCACCACATCACACTTACTAGCCAGTGATTAAGTGTCACCATATCACACTTACTAGCCAGTGATTAAGTGTCACCACATCACACTTACTAGCCAGTGATTAATTGTCACCATATCACACTTACTAGCCAGTGATTAATTGTCACCACATCACACTTACTAGCCAGTGATTAATTGTCACCACATCACACTTACTAGCCAGTGATTAATTGTCACCACATCACACTTACTAGCCAGTGATTAATTGTCACCATATCACACTTACTAGCCAGTGATTAATTGTCACCATATCACACTTACTAGCCAGTGATTAATTGTCACCACATAATACTTACTAGCCAGTGATTAATTGTCACCACATCACACTTACTAGCCAGTGATTAATTGTCACCACATCACACTTACTAGCCAGTGATTAATTGTCACCACATCACACTTACAAGCCAGTGATTAATTGTCACCACATCATACTTACTAGCCAGTGATTAATTGTCACCACATCACACTTACTAGCCAGTGATTAATTGTCACCACATCACACTTACTAGCCAGTGATTAATTGTCACCACATCACACTTACTAGCCAGTGATTAATTGTCACCATATCACACTTACTAGCCAGTGATTAAGTGTCACCACATCACACTTACTAGCCAGTGATTAATTGTCACCACATCACACTTACTAGCCAGTGATTAATTGTCACCACATCACACTTACTAGCCAGTGATTAATTGTCACCACATAATACTTACTAGCCAGTGATTAATTGTCACCATATCACACTTACAAGCCAGTGATTAAGTGTCACCATATCACACTTACTAGCCAGTGATTAAGTGTCACCATATCACACTTACTAGCTAGTGATTAATTGTCACCACATCACACTTACTAGCCAGTGATTAATTGTCACCACATCACTCTTACTAGCCAGTGATTAATTGTCACCACATCACACTTACAAGCCAGTGATTAATTGTCACCACATAATACTTACTAGCCGGTGATAAAGTATCACAATATCACATTTACTGGCCAGTGATTTCAGAAAAAAATATTGTCATTAACAAATATTCTCCCACTGAAGAATTTTTTATCTAGCATTTTCCCTTGTCTTAATTTTGATATATGAGGAGGGCTGCGATAACTTAGTCAGTTAGAATGAGGGTCTTCTTGTCCTCAGGTGAAGACCTGAGAGTCTCCTTGCTGTAACTTCTTGCTACCTGACTGAATAAGATACAGGAAAGCCCATCACATGTCATCCAAAGCATTTGCGGTTAAGTGTTTTGCCAAAGGACACAACCATGATAGTTCAGACCACTCCATTTCTCAGCTTCATGAGAACTAAAAACTGTCACGGGTTGGGAACATGGTAGACAAAAAATTTCTGTCTCTAAAATGTATTCACATTTATCATGCTATTATTGATACTGTTTGTGTTAACATTTTTAGGTCACCTGGCCCAAAGGGCCAAGTAAGCTAATAGCATACCGTATTAACCATCATCTGTCCTTCAATTTTTTCTACAAATCGCTACTAGTTATAAATGACAAAGCAGATTATCACCAAATTATGTCCGAAGCATCCCTAGGGAAAGTAGAACAAATTTGTATAAATGATTGGTCTCAGCCCCATGGGACCTTAAGGAGCAGTACTCAAAGAGGGAAATTTTGCAAGTTCTTTAAAATCCTAGCTACTTGTCCTGTAGGTATGGTTGGATTTTGCCATAACTTGGTTAAAAGCAATGCTGAGAGAATTAGAATCAGTTTTGTATAAATGGCGGGTTTCAGCTGGCTGGGATGGGAGGGGTGGGGCCTAATATTGGAAATAGGGCAAATACTCTAAAATCCCCTGTAGGAATGATTAAGTCTAACTATGAATGGTTTGTCAGACCCTCTATGCACAGTGGGTTGGTGCACAACATGAAAATAGATCTATTTTGTCTTGCATGCTTTGTTATTAAGAATTCCTTTTCCTTTAGTTTTATCAATGCAATTTCAGTCAAGCAAAGCCAAGTAAACCCTATTGTCCTCTTGTTATTGACTGTGCCCATTTTAGAGACAGAACAGAGGCATTCATAATGAAGGTAGAAATGCATTCACCATGGATGTGGTGAATTATTTCTGCTATGTATCAAGAAATCTTGGGGTCATTTCAAAGCAAATTATGTTCTAATTCACCAGTTCAAACAAACATATATAATTTATCAATTAAAACTCAACACTGTCATATAGAATACAGCTCACTGCAGCTTGTGCTTTAATGTGGTAAAAGTACATGAAATACGACAATCTGTGTCGTGACAGTTCCATGCTTCCAAAGGAGTATATTATCGGACACCTGATCGAGTTGCCTTTGTCCATCGCTATAAACCTGAAAGAACATCACAACCGAATCATCAATACACTGCTACCCCCACATTAACTAATGTTGAGGATGGGGGGGGGGGGGGGTAAGTATAAACCATGGGCGTACTGTATGGCTCCAAAAGCTTGAATGACGCAACTGTATTGGTCCGCCCTGCCCCACGGAATTCACATGCTACCTGTCGCACATCGTGTATGTCCAATTCCCCGCTCCAAAACTACACACCTGAGTATTCGAGCACCCAAATAACACCCTAGACTAGAGGCAGGCTACACACCACTATTAGCAATGGTGGGAAAGCTTGAAATCTGTATATTAAAACCAGAGATTATGGTTGGAAACTAAGGCATGAATTTTATGAAATCAGTTTGAAATAGAAGAAAAGTAATAATTCCTCCGTTTAGAGCATATTAAAAATCAAGTTCCTTGACTTTACACAGATAGGACAGCCTCTTTGAGCTGGACATGTAAGCATCATAGCACATTGTACACATTAACCATCTGTAACTTCTATGTCATCGTAGAATTTAAAGATTCTTCAGACCATTAGAAATAATATACTGCAGGTCACTGGAGCTAGATTGTTTATCGGATCAGAACTTCAGAACTGAACATTATTCGATTTGACATTTTGTAACATATCAAAGTCAGGATCATTCATTTGCTGAAAATCTCTGTCTGACAGTTTTAGGTTGGACAAAGAGACATGTTATCACATAGATTTTTTGTCAAAGTATGAAAAATGTATATGTACGTTAGAAGGCATGTATTATACAACAGGTTAGGAACATAGTTATGTTGATCAGGGAATTGCTGAAATGTGTGTATTTGTGATGAATTTAAAGGCTTCGTAAAACTTGAAATAGTTAAGATTGTTATTCCTTTTACAGAAATGTCAAAAGAAAATGTACATCTACCTCTCAGCAGACAAAATGTGATGACACAAGTGATCACTATTATAGAAGAGAATATTCCAGAGGTAAGAATCACTATCATAGAAGAGTAAAGTGATATCAGTCAGGGCTCTTGATCTGCCAGATTTGGGACCGATATTCGGCCCCATTCCCAATGCAAAATAGTATCTTTTTTCCCAATTTAGACACCAAGATTTCCCAATTCTAAGGAAAACACCCCAGGCCCCAGTCCCAAAATGGGGTGTGAGAGCCCTGTCCGTATTCGCATAAATTTGGAGTGAATACCACATGATGTACAATTATTTTGTAAGCATTGTAACATAGCATTAAGGGAACAAAATGATAAGGATGGAATGATTTGTCATTGACTCTCAAAGATTAACTTTATATTTTCAGTTGGAGGGACTGGATATCAGTAATAATCGGCTGATATCATTAGAGAATTTGTCAAAATTGACGAAGATATGTCCTAATATTGGAAGAGTCAACCTTGGTAAAAACTCGGTAAAAACTTTTTCATAAATATCTCTCCATAGTACAGTCGAACCTCTTTACTCGGAACTTGTATAACTTAAAGACTGTGTTTAATTTGAAGCATTTTGTCAGACCCTGCCAAACTTTACACAAAATGTTCTAGCTAACTTAAATTGAATACTCAGTTATCTTGAAGTTTTCTCATGGTCCTGCCAAGTTTAAATAACAAGCTTTGACTAGTTTGATTTCTATTTTCAATTTACAAAGTTATTATAGAAATGTCAGAAACTCTCACTGTTTCATTCCATAGTGATTACTGTAACAGGTATTATAGCTATATTTCTAGATAATTGGATGTGGTTCATTTGTTATGTGTGAAGTATAATTTAGCATTAGTTGAACAGTGTTTAGTATAGAAGTATAGATATAGATACAGTATTACCTCCCTTTACACACTCACAGGTGCGGCACCTTGATGAATTGGACAAAGTGAAAGACTGGAAACTTGTGGAACTGATGCTGGATGGAAATGAGCTTTGTGATAAGTTTGAAGATCAAGCAGCATACATTAGGTAATAGCTGACCCTGACACTCTTGACCGAGGCTCGCTTGACCTTGGCTTGATTGACCGGGGCATGCTTGATCTCTGGAGGCTGTTGGTAAGGTAGTATAGTCAGATGGTTAGGTGTCTGGCCCTAGTAGTCACGGATGGTTATTTTATGGTGACTGCTTTAAGTGGAGGTGATGCAGATGAGTTCTGATGGTCAGATGCAAAAAAGACTCATTACCAATCTATAGAATTGTATCAATTTGCAGTGCACTAGTTTACTATCAAAATTTTTAAAAAATGAAATGCTTTTTGGTGAAAATAAAGGTACATGGATACACGTTCTGAAGCCTAGAAATTATAGAAGCAATATTTGGCATGCCTGTTACAGAAAAACTCCAAAAAATCTCTTTACATGGTAGTTATTTTGTATTGGCCATCACCAGGTGTGTTAAGTCAAGGTTATAGTCAATGGAACAGTAGGGTAATATCAATAAGGTTCAATGCAAAAATGTTGTCACTGACATTATCATAATATGTCAAACCAAATCTGAGATGTTTTATTTTATGATTTTTAACTTAACATTTTCACCAAAGACACTTAGTATTAGATCACTATGGCACAATGTGATGGAAATTATTTATTCTTTGTCCATATCTAGACTTTGTCTGGTTTACAATATGGCACTTTATCTTTATATAATATACATGTATGATAGGTACTCATAAAACAATGTAGTATAATTAAAGTATAATCTCTATATATAGAATATTGTAGTCCTGAGAGCAAATATTAATCATGCTTTTGTATCAAGCAAGTGTTTCTTATATTAAGTGGAATTTACACACAAGGTGCCACAACACATAGCCAGAGCAACAAGTTGGAAAATTTTATGCTGTATATAAGGAATGAATGAAATCAAACATAAGCGATATTATCATAGAGATGACTCAGGTTTATCTGTAACTAATCTATAGATACAAATATCTCTGATTGATAAGCAATATCTGGAGTATCTACATGTAAATGTAATTTTTAAAGTACATGATGTTATAACAAAACCACTGTTTTTACCAGAAACATAAAATTTTGGTATTGGCCTCAATTGCAATGTTTCAAGATGGATTTTGATTGCAGTGGATTATGATATGCTATCAAACAAGGAAGGCACGTAAAACTGAATCCAGTCTGTTTTCCGTCATCAATGGTGCCCTTAAACTGATTCTTTTGTGGCCATACTTGTACAATTTTATAGAAATTTTAAATGACCTGCTAGATTTATAACTAGGAAGGACTTTGGTACAGAACTCATATCCTTCTAGTTTCACATTGTCAGGCCTTCCTAATTATTCCAGATTTCTTTCTTTGTGTCATCTCTGGAGACTTTGGTTGACTTTTGAACATCTTTTCAATTAAAGTTGAAAGAATTTTTTTTTTCTCAGGACAACTATTATGCCTTGGCTTCATTATGATATGATTATCATTATTCCTATCACCAGTATTTCTTTTGGATGATAAATGTGTAATTCCTTAGGGTGCCTTGTAGTCACTATCATCATTTCCTTTTTCATCTCAATTTGATGAAGATATCACTTACTGTTATGGTGACCCACAACTTACCACCATAGTGGTGTGATCTGTCTGTAGTAATTTCTTGATCTATACATAGTCCTTCTGTATTAAAGACTTTAAAGTTGACCCACTACTTACCATCAAAGTGGTATGATCTGTCAAAAGAAATTTCTTGATCTTTCACTATATGCTTATATTAATGGAAACTATGCCCTTCAAGAATATTTTGGTAGGTTCTGGAAATCCATGATTGGTTGTAAAGATATTACCATTTTTCTTCTACTTACTCTGCTGGTGTTCCCTCTCTTTAAGAATTTCCCTATCTCAAGATTCTTCTCATTGGTTACATATTTTGTTTAATCAAGAGGATCTGTGTTCATATTTTAAAAAAAAAATGAAAACTGAAATGGTTTCAAATGAAAGTATGCAAACAAGGCATATACATTGTATGAAAATTGGAACATTCTTTTTTTGTGATGTTTGAATTCACTCAATTTGATGGTTTGATTTTGTAAAAATGATCATTTAAATTCTTTCACAAACCCAAAACTGAAGAAAGGTGGTTTTGAGTATTATTAATTTGAAGAATACTGTAAACAAGCTACACTGACTTGTAATATCTGAAACAAGGATCTATTAAACAAAAACAAAAGCAAGAAATCTTATTTTTGAAATTGCATAGTACTCCAGAGTTGAAGGTGTACTGTTGGAAGTTTGAGGGTTTTAATAACCAGTGTCATAACATATGTTATAAGCAAACAACAAAATTATGTTTTGTATTTGACCTTTTTTTCTGTTTGTATGTGTTTTAGAAATCATTGTGCTTGTATTAGTATTCTCCAACTTGATGATACCTCAGAAAGGAGTTATCTCCCTTGAATGAAAAGCTCTCGTTTGAATTGAGATGGAGGTGCCTTGTGACACAGGTCTGTCACCGATGACGGGTAAGATCTCCCAAAGGGAGGCAACCTAGGACAGGGGCAGCTGGCACTCGGCTCAACAGCAGTATCTAAATCATTTGTTGACCATGAATGATAACATGGATATATGGCAGAGCTATTTATAGTTCTCAGCTCAGAATTTGTAGATAGGCGTCAATAGCCTGTTATCAGTGATACACTACTTCTGTTTACTTCATTGTAGACTTCTGTGGAATCACTGTATCTATGTAGGTAATTGTGATAGGTTTAAGGCAATGTAGGAATCCCAGTGTGAGATACATATATATATATATGTATGTAGGTAATAGATTAGGTAGGGACTAGAGTTGGAGTCACATGATGGATCAACTGTCATTTAGGAACATACATTTAGCATAAGGATCTTGTTAACAGTTTTATTAGGTTAGTTATTTTGATTTTAGATCGGGAAGGAATCATACTAGAAACTGCCTGGCTATACTGCTGTTGATTTGGAATACCTCCAGAGAGCAAAATTTCCAAAAACAATAATGTGCTGCACATACACACCTTGATTATATAATTAATCCATTTTATCAATATTGAAAAAAGAGCAAAAAAAAAAGAAAAAGGAAAAATACTTAAGAAACATTTCCTTTTGGTTATTCAAAATTACTGATACCCTAAAATCTTGTATACAAGATCATCTTAGGTGATCTCCTTCTTATATTGAACCAGTCCTTTGATTAACTGAAGAAAATATGACACCTCTTAAATACTGCCCTGTAGGTGCATTGTCTGTTTACAGTACTAGACTCTCCTTATTCTGGTTTCAATTCAATGGTGTCACTTTGGTGTTATACTACAACCACTCCCAGTCAACTAGCTATCAGTAAATCTAAGCAATTCTATGCTTCAGTTTGACTTTCATTCTGTCACCAGAATTCTATGATGTCTGAGGTGAACCATCTTTACATATGGTGAAATCACTGGTGTATCTCTTGGTAGTCAGTTTTATCAGTATCTTCCTAGAGAGTTGTTCAAACTGACTTGAACTGGATTTTCCTGGTAACTATTCCATGGTGTAACTATTTAGGTTTAACTAGTATCTGTGTTATAACTGGATATCAGTATAAGATTATAGCTAGCTATTAGTTATAACTAAAGACAAGTCCCCAGTTGTGAAAGTATGGATGGTAGAATACTAAGTACACAAAGTGTCACTTTCACAACAACATTGATGCTCCCTCACTGTTAGCATATTATGGAAACAATTATTATAATGAAAGAAAGAATGAAATGCTTTGAAAATGCCCTCTGTACCATACTTACATTTCCTAGCAAATCTTATACATATTGTATATATTTCTAGCAGATAAAAATGAGAAATGTTTGAAAATAAAATAAATGTGCCTTGTTTGTTTTGTGGTATCATATCATGTTCTATAATATAACCAGTCAATGTTTTACCTGTAGAGGTACATCACATACTGTGTCAAACATCAACAAGTTTTTTGTTGGACTATATCACATAACAATGGTTTGTTTAGCAGAAACTGTACAGAATGAAAACACTTCTTTGCATTCAGTATTAGTTATATCAAGTTCTCCTCGGTAAATAATCTCATATTCAGGTTAGTAGTAAAAGTGACATAGGTAAAAAACAGATCCCAAATTTTTCCTTTCAATTTTTGCCTAAAATTAAGCTATGAAGTCAAATAAGATGTTAATGTATTTTACCATGAAGAAAACAAAATTAATCCACTGAACAATGGTAATTACCTGGTATTTATGATAGACAATAGTTAATGTTTGTTATGTAACCACCTGTGGCCTTTCTTGATTGTTACCATGTACAGATGTTATGTGAGTTTGACTTGATAGTAGATTTTAGTATTAACAATATTTTACAGAAATATTGTTTGAAAACATTTTATGTAAAAATAATCTACATACAATTTTACATTTGAATTGAGATTTCTTTTGCTTCTCAAAAGATTTAAGGTTGATTAGAAACCAGTTACTAATAATGATTTTGTAAGATGTTACATAAGTTTTATACTGTGTACAATGTAATCTGCCAGCAGAAACTGAACATGTTAGTGTGATCAATCTGTTTACATCATCCGTGTGAAATATCTATAGGGAAAGTCATGAAAAAAGAAAATGTTGACTATTATATTGATAGCTTTTATGTTCCAGTGCTGTACGGAAGAAATTTCCTAAAGTTATGAAGTTGGTAAGATTTCAAACTTTTTTCTTTAAATGTGTCCATTTTAGAATCTCTCTCACATTTACTCAAAAGGATAATATATCCATCAAACTCTTTCTACTGAAAGGCTGAATGCTCGTAACAGTGGACGAAAAGCCTGTTAAGTTAATTCTCTATCTTTATTCAATTCTAGATCACATTTAATCAAGATTCTGTTTATTACAGAATTCAAATTGATACAATAGTGGTACTGTATTTCATGTGTGTCATAAGATATCTGTGATATGGGTGCATTCCAAAATTTGTAGCATATTACTGTATTGTAGGGAGTTAAGGGCCACCCTTGTCCATCACATGGTGAGTTATACCAAAGTTACTCTGTGTGATGTGAGAGGTTAATCCATCTTTAAGATTTTAGGTCATCTGACCAGACCAGTCAAGATAGCCTATTGCTGTTGTGTGCTGTCAGTTGCTTTCTGTAAACTTTTCCTGTAAAACGCTACTCCTTTTTAATGCCCAAACATACTTCAATTATATATAATCAGAAACATTATTTGAAGTGTGGAATCATTTCTTAAATTTAGAAAGTTGATTCAATGCCAAGGGAGCTTGGGATTGTGCCCGAAAAGGGAAGTTAGACAATGTTTTGCTTTAAAATGCTACCTTCTTCTTAATGCCGGGGTAGATTTAAACCAAACATGGGGAGTGGTAATGGTATCAAACATGAATGAAGTGATCCTGAGATTGTCCTGACCAAATCTTGTTTTTCAGTTTGGTCCATAACTTATCTTGAGCAAATAGTCTGCTTCTCAAGTTTCATTCACACCATTTAGAAAAATATTGGGAGTTTAATTTGTTAAGGAAAAGAAACATTTTTTTTCATCCTGATCAAAATTTCAACCACAGTAACCATTTTGTAACGTGATTAAGCAATTATTTTTCATCAATAGAATCTACCATTTATGAGTTTCTGATACTTTTAAGGAATTCATCAGATTGGTTAGACAACCATTCACAAATTTTGTGGTCTGTCCATCAATCCATTTGTCGAATGTCAGATGATGGTTAAGGACTATGGTCCTGTTGATATATTTAGATATTATACAACAGTCAGTCAACTAATTCAAAAGTGATCTGTGTCATTTAATCCATTTTATCTATGAAAAACTCCCCAGTTAAATAATTCGTGTCAAAAATTAAAAATAAAAAAAAAAAAAATAAATTCATATTTCATTTTTTGCAGTAATCTCATCTTAGTACTTTCATGCTGAAAGTATTGAGGTAAATTATTTTTGATGTAATTAAAAATTTCTGTACATTATTTGAGGTGATTATTATGAATGCACAAATTCATCATTAGGCTTATTTGCTAGAAAGTGATGATGTACTATAAGTTGATTGTTCCAATTTTTAAAATTTGTTTACAGTAACATTACTTTTTAGCCCACCATCTATTCAGATTGCTCTGCGTCATTGGTCCGTTCATAAATAATTTTTGTTTTTCTTGTGAAGTACTGGATGGATCTTTCTCAAATTGCATATATAGTTTCCCCTTGGTCCATAGTTGTGGCTGTTTAATTTTTGGGGCTGATAAAAAAATACAAAATGACCCACAAGCAGCAATATTGAATTTTGACTTGGAAAGTTTGTTTTCACTGTTTCTTAAGAGCTACTCTATAGATCTTTCTCAAATTTCATGTATAGGCTCATTTAAGTCCCTAGTTGTGTGTTTGAGGTTTGGACTGATCAGAAAAACAAAATGGCTGACAGGTAGCTATCTTGGATTTTGCCCAGTAAAGATTGTTATCGCTATTTTCTAAGATGTACTGCATAGATATCTCTCAAATTTCATACGCAAGTTACCTTTAGTCTTTCCTTGTGCTCATTTGATTTTGGGACTGATCAGAAGAAAAATATTACTTCAAGACAGCCATTTTGGATTTGGCAGGTAAAGAATATCATTGCTATTTCTGCAAAGGAATGTTCAAATGTCTTCTCATTAAGAGCAAAAACAGAGTAGAAAAGAGAAAAGAAGTTAAAAGATCCAACTTTCAAACAGCACATAAAGATCAAACAATGGTGGGTGCCAAAATCCCTTTGGGATCTCTCATTTACATAAGAAGTCCCTTGTCCTCTATAATCATTTGATGCACTCAATTTTATTATCACCACTATAGTCAACATGAATAAAAATCTATAGTCTATTAATAAGTGTTGTTACATATTTATAACTTTGTCATTTTAATAGGATGGACACGACCTTCCGCCCCCAATAACCTTTGACCTGGAGACAAGTACAGAATTACCTGCCACTAAAGTAAGAATGATATAAAGACGATGTTATTTGCTTCTGTATGTTTATTTACATTCTGCTTCCCTTAGCCTTCTTAAAAACATAATCCTGGAATTTCAGTGACATTGAATTGGTGTGCAAGTCTTGACCTAGAAACATAAATATACAATAATCATTATTTCTTTTTTTCCCCAATTTTTGTTATCCAGGGCAGTTTTTTCTTAAATGCAGAGATCCAGGATGTTTTGGTGAAATTCCTAAAAGAATATTTTACAATATATGACTCTGACAATCGTCAGCCATTGACTGCAGCTTACCAAGAGGAGGTTAGTGAAATAGACCTATTAAAGTACACATTAGAGATTATGACAAAGGGTACAAGTGCTTGTAAATATGATAGTGAAAAAATAAACAAACTTTATAATACAGTATCACTACACATTGAAGCAAGATAACATGGTGTTGGAGGGAAGATGATATTTTGTGTCCGACAGCTTTAGGAAATATTTATAATTTTATATTGACGATACTTTCTTTTATATTTATAGGCTATTTTTTCCTTGTCAGCTTCAAAAAACAATTCATCAGATCATTGGTAAGTGGAGTAAGACTTTATAGACTTCATAGCAGATCATTGGTCTATCTGACCCTACTTAAACCATACAGAAATAAGACACATGTAGAAAGATGCTCAAGTGAAATGTATTGAATATATCATATGGTGTATTACTTTTGTCTTTCATCTTTTCTCTCATGATCTGAAGTGATTTGAATTTGATTCAGAATCCAGTTGACTATACAATACAAAGGTATCTGGTGTGGTTGTGAATGTAGATCCTGATTAATTATGCCGTTATACATAATAAGCTTTGAAAAGTAAAATTCTTATTGCATGTTAATTAACATGTTTAATTAACATGTTTAATTACCTATTCCACTGTTTTGATGTTAAGTTCTTATGTTTCAGGCAAGCAGGTCTGCAGACATACTTTCCAGAGAGTAGAAATCTGCTGCGAAAATCACGAGATCCAAGTAAGGAAAAAGAGATTTCAAGAACTCCCAAATCAAAGTTTTGGACAAAAAAACCAATAAATTAGAATAATTTATTACAGTCACTGTTTCCAAGAGGTTAACAAGCTCCAGCAGTAAATTTTAGTGGATATAAGAATTGTTTTTATCCCTGTGTCATTATTTAAATTCAGAGGTCAAACAATAGTAGAATATTATGCATCTACTGTCTCTTTTATTTTCAGTGTAGCTTTTGATATTGATTTTTGTGTCCATATTTTCAGGTCAGAAGCAGCGAGTGTTGATGCGTGGCAAACTGAATGTTGTGTCGAAGCTGTGTCTGTTGCCGAAAACTACGCATGACTACAATTCATTTGTGGTGGATGTTGACCATGCTTCTGTAAGTACAGTGTAAATGTAGGTATCAAATGTTTAAATTTAACTAGGATGATCACAGCTGTCTAATCATTATCTCAATGGTTCAGGTCTTTTATGAAGATTTGTTTCAGATTTAATTCACATTTAATGTTTTAGTTAGTGTAATAGTACAGATTGAAAATGTGATCAGATATGTATATATGACAGATACTAATAGACTACTTTCAAATTGAAATGATCCTAAATATTTACGCTGAAGTCTAAAACTTGTGGAAAAGAAGTATTACAAAAAATGTCAGTATTGATGAGATTTCAAATGAAACAAACAATTGACCTTTATTTACTTTCGAAGTTCGTATATTGAAAATTATTGTTAATTTTCCTTTCAGACTACCCTCCTCAGCTTCACAGTAATGGGAGTCTTTAAAGAAGGTGAGTTTTGAATTAAAATTTGTTGTTTAGACAATGTCTAGGGATAGGAAGAATCACAGAGATAGAAAACTTATAACCTACAAACCAACTGTTGATAGTTAAAATCTTATTTGAAAGTAGTAAGTTGTGTATGGAGTTAGTGTTTCCTCAAGAAATTAAGTGTAATGACTTCCGTTGGTGGTATGACAGATTAATTAGAATTTCTCTTGAGATTATGAGATGCTGAACAGATTTGAGGACTGTCATTGTACAAATGAAGGAACAAAATATTTATTTCAATTTTTTGTAAACTTAATTATCTCACAACGTTTTGTTTGAGAAGCTGTATTGTGCTATATTTGTTTTGTTTTTTCTGATGTTTTAGCTGACGAACGTTCCGATCGACAACCAGTGAGGGCATTCAGCCGTCGTTTTATAGCCCTGCCCAGAGGTCAGGGGTATGTGAAGTTTTACTATAATATACAACAATTTTAAAAGGGTCCTTGTCTGGTTATTCAAGCCCACCATCATCTTGGATTTTTAGGTCACTGATCACCTTTGTCAGATGTTGTTTATCCAGCGTCTGTGCATCATGTGTTGTGCACCTGTAAACTTTGAACATTTTTGACATCCTCTCAAAAACTCATGAATTGATTCAATGAATGTAAGACACCCACAGGGGCAGGAGAGGCTGGGCCAAAAGGGTCAGTCAAATTGACTCAAATTTCAAAAATCTTCTCTACACCCAGATTTGGTAGAATCAAATGCACTTCAAGTATGGAAGTGTCTTAAAGGTGCCTTGTCTAAATTGTGAATTTCATGGCCCTAAGGTTTCACATTTCTCCCTTGGGAGGGGGTAAAGTTTACTGTAGTTTCTATAGGAAATATAGATTTTTGAGCATAATTTGTTTAATTTCCAATGGCAATATTTCAAACTTGGTTAGAATTATGAACGAAGGATGAGGGCTTGATGGTATGCCCATATTGGTCCAGACATGACCCCAAGGGGCTGATAGGCATTGCCAAAAGTGGTCAAATTGACTCATATTTCAAAAATCTTCCTTTGAACACCCAGATATGATAAAATCATTTAAATGCTCATGGGTGGAAGTGTCTTAAGGTGGGTTACCAAAATCGTAAATTTCATGGCCCCAGGATCTCATGTTTCCTAGTGGGAAGGGGGTAAAGTATATTGTAGTTTGAATAGGCTGATAGGCGGGGCCAAAAGTGGTCAAAATGACTTAAATTTAAAAAATCTTCTAAACACGCAGTTCATCCTCAATACTCCCGGAGTTACGATCACTTTCCCTCTCTGCATTCCTGAAACATGTCATGTAAAATCTAGGTTCAATGTGGGACACCTTGTGGACAAGGCAAAAAGACTACTTTGATCCTTGGATGTACATCAATTGAATCTCGAGGTCACATAACGGTATATTGTAATGGCTTTTAAGTTGTAACATTCAAAAGGAGGGTATTAGATTGGGATTTGTAAGTTCTTTTTCTCCAGGAACCAATCAAATTACTTCTCTTGTGCCTTCAATTTCGCTCCCTATTGTATCAAGGATGCACCCAGTTTATGATAGAATCAAATGCCCTTCATGGACAGAAGAGTCTTAAGGTACTTTACCAAAATTGACACTGGCTTACTATCATCAATGTCACCATTTCTTTTTCACAACACTTGAAAGGTACTGACTGGATCGCTCTCAAATTTCATATGTACCTTCCCCTTCTTCTCTAGTTGTACATGTTTGATTTTGGAACTGATCAGAAAAGCAAAACGGCTGTCAGATAACCATCTTGGATTTGGCAATTGAAGGTTATTATCATTATTTTTGCAAAGGAATAATCAAATTTGATACCATTAAGAGCAAAAACAGAAGAGAAGGGAAAAGATCCAACTTTTAAAGATCAAATAAAGTTAAAGCTATGTTGGGCACCAAAATCCCTCTGGGATTTCATATCTTTTAAAAATTACCTTCTCTAACTTTGCTTTCAAGACATGAAAACTACATAACAATGCTAAGATGTCACTGTTCTTGTTGACAGTATGGTGATCGCCAATGATATGCTGACAGTGACAAATGCTTCACCTAGCCAAGCACAGGTATGTGATGGATACAAATTAGCCTCAATTATAAGGACTCAATCTAAAGGAAACTTTTAATCAAAAGATATCAATGAAAACTTCTTAATTATTGTGGTCTTTTTAAGAAATTAAGTCAGTTCTGTGATAAGATGTAATGTGAAAGGTTTATTTTCATTTGTGGTTAATCAAAAATTACTATTTCAATGGCACTTGGTTTCGTTGATATACATATGGCTCTATAAATCTACATATATTTTGATTAACGGTTTGTGGACATACAGATTTGTCAATGAAAATAAATCCCCAATGAAAATCAACTGTAGAGTATAGTGCTTTTGAAATTGGTTTCTTGACAGCACTATTAACTAGCCGTAAAATCTTTCAGCTGAAGTTTTGTAATTTCTTCATTCTTCAGATGTAGTTAAGAAAAAATTCATTAAGGTAGTTGTTATTTTGAATTTCAGGCAGCCTTTAAGAACCCTGCCCCAACTCCCTCATCAAGTCCTGTGCCTGACACAACTCCTGCTGCACCGTTTCATCCAGCAGGGCCAAGCCTTACTCCTGAGCAACAACAGATGGTGCAGAGCTTTTCTGCACAGTCGCAGATGAACCTAGAGTTCTCAGTCAAGTAAGTGAACATATACACAACATAATAAAGCAATATGTGTACAATATCAAACTCAATGAATGAAATTGAAAGCTTAACATTGGCTCATAAAAGTGTTTATTTTTTTGTCGCATTCTTTCATTATATGTTATCAACCCTTAAGCTTACCTTTTATCTTCATATTGTACAGTTGTTTAATTTGGTGGTGCAAATATTTCCTGGTTGTCTAGGTTTGGTCTAGTTCATGAGGATTAAATTTTGCACATGTGTAATCATAAGTACCATGTATACAGACATAAGATATATATTTTTGTGATTTCGACCTACTGTAAAAATGGATAATCAGTTTTGTGATAATTTTGATGACTACGAAAATAACAAATGTAAATCGCATGTGAATATTACCAAATACACAGTGCAGTTGCCTTCTGTTTTAATAAATCATTAATGTTGTTATCATGAGTTATCAATATAAAATTTCCAAAATATTCATGGATTTACATATATTTAATAGATGTCTGGAGGAACATCACTGGAATTATGATGTTGCAGGTCAAGCGTTCCTCACTCTACAGGTATGTACTTTAAAATTTCACATATTGTTGGTGGGGATCATAGATATGGAGTTAACTGTATCATCTGTTGTGATAAACACTAACAGGTGTCAGTGGAGAGATGTCATTGCTGAATAATAATGAACTAATGAAGGAAAATAACAAAGTAAACTGCTTCCTCAGTGGAGTTCATTGAGTATTACCTATATAGAGATAAATGTGTTCAGTTGTCATGTGAAAAATTGTAAGTGTGCAAACACCTTATATGCCCTCTATTGGAGACATTCTGATGTATTAGAATTACTTCCCTTTGTTTCACTCGATCAATGACTTAACGCTAGGGATGCAACTGCTTCTGCTTGAATATATGGTGCAAGAGTTCCCAGATGCATGCTGTCTTGAAAAATCTGAAGGCATGTAGCATCAAGTGGAATCAGTCAGCTGAATTTTAACTGAGGAACATTTTCACAGGGCACGGAGGTTGCTCATTGTCAATTTAGCTAAATTTTACATGAATTATCATCACAAATCACAGATTTTAAATTTGTTAATTTTGACTTTTTGAATCACTTTCTTTCATTTTTGGGACCGTAAAACAAACACTTCATTTTTGGAAGAAAATTACAAAAAAAGAAAGAAATGAAGCCCCCTCTTATTGAAGCAGATAAATTATCCTAGAATATTTTTCTTTCCAAGTATTGTCTAAAAAACCTTTAAAACAAGGCCAGATAAACATTATCAGCCATTTTTCAAAGCTTTCTTTTTTTTAATTTTATTTTTATTTTTTATTTATTTATTTTTTTTTTTTTTTGCTATTATTCTGTTTTTTTGTTGTTTTTTTTTGTTAATATCTCATTAGTTCTGTTGTTGTATAGCTTGTTCTCATTGTTGTGGCATAACTTACTTTAATTGATCAAGATGTACATGGCAGGTGTCGCCAATGAAGTGGAAGACACTTACTTTTCCTGAACACCTGGTCTGATTCTCCTTGTACATTTTCATGAGTCTCCGTGTAAATCTTTCTTTTGTTTGTGAGTTTGGTGTGTGATTTTGTTGACTTTTTGGTATTTTCTATTATGTTTTGATGACAGAGGAAATTTATTTCCAAAAAATGCCTCATCTTGAGATAAGAAAAGAACGAATGATACATGAAAATGGATTATTTCCTGTTTCACTTATGTTAACATCTGTGAAAAGGGAAAAGAAATTTTTCTGCTCTTATATTACATTCTGAAACTTTAAACTTTTATAAAATTGTTACCTCAACAAAAATTAGATTATGGAGAATTTGACCACCAGACTTTGATAAACTCTTAAGATTGGACTGTTTCTATAAAAAGACATGGAAATATATTGAACAAGAACACTACAAATAACTATCACCCCTGTATTGTGAGTACTTTCAGTACTGTGATTAAAAATGATTTATGTTGTTTTTCTTTTATCAGAAAGAGAACAAAATTCCACCAGAAGCATTTGTGAAATGAACCAGTCCAGAGATGAGTGTGAAAAGATCTCAGAAAATCTTGCTCCAAGGCAGTTTACTGATTGAACATATAACTTTCTACACAGAACAGTAGCAAGCTATTTAATCCTGACACAAAAAACAAATCCAGCTTGGATTTATTTCACTGTTTTAGAAGAGACATAACTTAGGAGGAAATTCTAGTTTTTATCAAACAAGTGAACATGGTTGGATCTTCAGGCCAAGAGTACCACTTCAAGTATCACTGATTTGTATTGGATATGATATGTGTTACACAGACTCTGTTTTAGGCCCAATAACCGACTGGCTACACAGACTCAGGTTTAGGCCCAATAACCAACTGATTACACAGACTCTGGTTTAAAGACTTCAGTCAGTCTGCCTATACAGACTGGTTGAACAGACAGTTTGCTAAAGAATCACATTGAGATCAGACTTAAACATTGCTAGAGACATTCAAATTACTACAATGACAGTTTTCTTCAGAGGAAAAAAGTAATTCCATCCATATAAACAACTTGCTGTTGACTTTCCTCTGTGGTCACTTTCATCAGTTACATACCTGTAGTACTCTGTGACTCTTAGTACAGCTCAGATCGGAAGGGCAGTACATAATGTACCTACTTTTAAAACCTGGTGGTATACAGGCATGTGATAATCTAGTCTGAATCTTAGTCATGCTATACGCTCCTCATTGGTTAAAATCACCAGGGATGATGTCTGATTGGGTTGAACCACCAGGGATGATGTCTGATTGGGTTGAACCAACAGGGATGATGTCTGATTGGTTAGAACAATCAGGGATGATGTCTGATTGGTTAGAACCACCAGGGATGATGTCTGATTGGTTAGAACCACCAGGGATGATATCTGATCAGTTAGAACCACCAGGGATGATGTCTGATTGGTTAGAACCACCTGGGATGATGTCTGATTGGTTAGAACCACCAGGGATGATGTCTGATATATCATCAAAATTATTATTTTCAAAATGTTTTTTTGAACATTCATGTTGTTTATGAAATATGGTAATTTTAAAACCCTAGATATGGGTAATAAATATTACATATTGTACATTTTCATAGAACAAAACTGTGGTTTGATAGTGTAAACTGTGTGTGATACATGTTATAAATTATTGACTGGATGGATGTTCTTGGGCTTTCTGGTAAGGGATATACTTGTAAATACTTTGTCAAGTCAACTGTTTATGAGCGATGATGGTTTTAGTATGTGCGAAATTTTATCATTGTAGATTTTATATTCCTGAAATTGTATTTGTAAAAAACATTTGTTGTTAAAAAATAGTGATATTGGAAGAGGCCCAGAGAAATCATCATTTAAATTATCTAACGTTTCATTTCATGCAAGGAGTGCTACATCATAAAATCGGGGTTTTTTTTTTTTCCAAGAACTAAATGTAATAATGTATTTTTTAATAAGTGATATTATCTTATCTTGATACATTTTTATGTATTTTTGTATGGTCCATACTTTTAACATTTGATTCAAAATCCTTAATCAATTTCCACCAAAATGTCATATTTATTTTTCAATCATTGGAGGAAGAATACAATCTTTAAAAAATTCCCTGAAACTATGTCTTTTAAAAGATTTTGATTTAACATTTTCACTTTGATCAGCCATCATTTTTTAATTGGTTTTGAGGATAAAAATTATTACAGACAGGAAACGTATCAACATTCTTAATTACTGGAGAAGTAAAGGGACAGATATGTGCAAGTTTTGTGTCTTTTTTTGTGTGTAGTGTAGATATAATCTATCAAGCTCTTTGTTGTACAAATTACATGAAATATAAAACATTTTAATTGTTATAGGACAAGAATTTATTGTAATTATGAAAAATAAATTGGTGAGGTTGTAAGCCTGAGTATATGTCACAGCAGCTGTATGTGTTTTTGGGGATGAATATGGTGAGTGATTTGGTATGATTGGTGAAAGTATTTGTTTGAAGTCTGGAATCTTGAGGATAGAGGATGAGAGGGCTGTTGTTTGTTCAAAGATTTATAGAAAAGTACCATCTTTCCGTCAAAAAAAAAAAAAGATTTTCTGTATAGATTTGTCATATTATTTGTGAATTGTGTATTACTTCATAAATACCCTTATGATTCATGACATCAGACAAAATGTCAAGTTTTAATGTTTGATAATAAATATTTTCGTAGAAAACAACCAGTTGTCCATTGTTCATGTTTGTTGTTTTACTGTATAGAAACATTGTAATATTAAGTCTGAATTTTGATGGTTTGGGTCTTCTTGTGAATTCTTTGTTATTCCTTACAGAAAGATTGAAATATGAAGTCGGTATTTTGATGATTTTAGTCCATACAACATCTAGGTAGACCATACACATGGTAGAAAAGCTGGAAGGTGCTTAGTCATTTTGACATGATTAAAAGGTAGTTTTACAAATTTAAAGTATAGTTACATTTAGAAAATTAAAGGGAATCTATTACACTCATCTGTTGATTAAAAAAGATGTGATATAGAGATACAGTAAGATGACTGGTAATGGTCCTGGGCCATATCAGATTACCAAGGTTAAAATTATCACAGTTAAAAACCTTATGAATATTGGCGGCTAGAATGAAATGCTTTCAAGACTGAGTGACCCTTGCCAGTCTTCATGGTTACACAAGGTCAGATTACCGGTGATGAAATCTTCACACAGCTTGTTCTATTCAGGCCAAAAAAATGAGAAAGGTGGTCAAGGATTCTATTAGCTCACCCTCCCCCAAAAAGGCAAACAAGCTTATGCCATGGTGGTTGGCTGCTTTCTGTATGTCAACTTGCACCTTTAAATGGCATCTCAATCATCAAGTGTCCCAGGGTAATAAGGGCCTATAGCATGCTAAGTTGATGTTATACAAAGTCCATTGGAATGGATGACGTTGACTCACTTTCAAGGTTAATAGGATACTAAAATCTAAAATCATTTTCTCCATTCCCAAAAGACTCCAGTTTCATTATTTTACCTGCTACATATGCACTACCATATTTGGGATGAAGACAACGGTTCTTTTGCTCAGATAGAAGCCTTCAATTGAAATACCCCAGTAGCTTAACTAATCTCAACAAATGTTTGAATGTTTTATCGATTAATGTTTTGCTTATAATGATTGTATTGGAGTGACTATTGATAGTTCCATCACTATTTTCTATCCTTAAAACGTATCTTATCCTCAGAATTGCAATTGTTTGCCCCTGATTCATCAGAAGATGAAGTGGCTGTGAAACAACTAGAGAATAAATGGAATTTGTACAATGTATTTCAACTTTTTACTAATAATCGCAGCTTCTAGTCATGAATGAATGAACAGATTTTGACCAAATTTGATCAGGAGCATCTTTGCAGGTAGGGGAACTAGGCTTGTATAAATATTGGTTCTTGCCCCCCAGGGGCCAGAGTGTGGGGCCAAAAAGTGTAAAAAAGAATTCTTTAAAATCCTATTATTGATGTAGGAATGAATAGAATATTGCCCAAATTTGGTCTGAAGCATTTTTGGGTGAAGGGAAATCAGCCTTGTATAAACATTAGGCCTCTGCCTCCTGGGGTGGGGTCCATTGGGGGAAATAGAGCACAAACTTTAAAATCCTACTCTTCTTGCAGGGATGAATGAATATTGACCAAATTCAGTCTGAAGCATTCTTGGGTGAAGAGGAATCAATTTTGTGTAGATGTGTAGGGTCTTCGCCATTTGCGGCAGGGCCAATAGGGGACATGAAGTAAATTCTTTAAAATTCTACTCTTCCAATAGGAATGGATACTGCTCAAATCTGGTATGAAGCATTCTTGGGTGAAGAGGAATTATTTGTGTATAAACAGTGGATACTGCCCCTTAATAAATACATACTACCTAAATTTGTTCTGAAGCATTCTTGGGTAAAGGAGAATCAATTTTGTATAAACATTAAGTTTTGTAAGGGAAGGTGGGGCCTAATAGGGGAAATAGAGCAAATTTTTAAAAATTCTACTTCTCTTGTGGGAATGATTGGAATTTGCCCAAATTTTGTCTGGAGTGTTCTTGGGTGAAGGGGAATCAACTTTGTATAAATGGTGCATCATGATCTCGTAGGGAGGAAATGCAAGTTCTTAAAAATTGTTCTTCTGTATAAGGATAATATCCAAGTTTGGTCTGATGCAATTTGTGTGAATAGTGAATCAGACTTATGTTTAACTACAAGGCCCAATTGTATCAGAAATTGTTTGTCATACCAATGTTTGAAATTCTTTATTTAGTGCTAACGAGCTATATTAATCAGGTGAACGATGCAGGCCCTTAGGCCTCTTGTTTGTCTTGTAACATAAATCATGTACCAAAGATCTCGATGAAAAGCAAGTTTATGCAGCCCACCATCTTATGATAATTTTCAGAATGATAACATCTTTTCTACAAATTGAGTTATGCCAGCAGGTTTGATTTGCAAATAAATATACTTAATACAAATGATCTAGAGGATATTTATTCGAAGTAGTAACTATGGAACAAATAACCCCAAATTGTCTCTTTATAAACAACACAAGCAAAATGCCAACAGGATTGCATACATGGATGGCTCAGCAATTCACAGTTCAAAAAGGAGAAGAATTCTAAAGGTGTACAATACGACCTCCTATTGAGCCCTGTCTCTATCACCAAAGAATGCTTCAAGCTGAATTTGGACAAAATAATATCATTCCATGTTTGCTAAATTTCCCCTATTGGGCTCTGGGCAGACTAACTATTTATACAATACTGACTTGCCTTCTTCCAAGGTTACTTCTTGACAAATTATGTCAAAATACAATTTACAGTACTTCAACAACAGAATGATTTTGAAAGGCCATACCCAATGTTTACATAAAATTGTGTTTTGTTTGCCAGAGGAGCCTCTGATCCAACCTGGACAAAAGTAAAAAAAATTGAAAAATTAACTTAATTTCCACCATTGGAACCAATGGGTATGATATTAGTACCTAAGGTATGCAATCCAGTCTTGAATCTGTTGCGCAAGTGCGACATTCAAATCACCCGGTCTTGTCATGTCAGTACAAATGGACGATTTGGTAACTAACCCAGTAGCATGGAAACATGTATAGAGACAGGCAATTGTACACTGGGCAACGTCATACTGTCGTGCAACAGCAGTTTGGCAATGACCATCCAACAACATAGCAATTGTTCTACTCCTCTGAATTATGCATGGCATCTTGGTCAATGGCAAAATCAAAATGCCAGCATGGAAAATTGATGTGGCTGAACATTGAGTAGCCATTGAAATTATTTGTTGCAAAAAAAATCTGGCTTGACTAATCACACTTCATGATTTGGACTAAAGAAGCTAACAAAGTCAGACAATAACATCATCATTCTTGGCTGATTTTAGGGTAGATTGTCGAGAAGGGAGATCATTCTTGATGTTATACCTTACCAAATATTCCATTATTTCCTCACAGCTAAGGTGTACTGCAGGGGACAACTTTGTGTATTTCTTTTTTTGGTGAGTATACTTTCCTTGCATCTTTCTATACCATTGTCCAACTTCTACATCATATCTGAGTCAAAATTGTGGGATTAGGTTTATTTTGCATGGCACGTCTCCAACAATCAAAATAAAAAAACAAACTATTACATTCAAACAGAATACACTTTATTATGTAAAACAAGTTTACTCTGAACTACCGAACATGTTATTGTTCTGTTAAAGAGCTTCACAATATGAATTATCACTAACGTAACAAGATAGTTATAGATACCTCTGGTCTAGTACAATCAAATCCATGTTTCTTACATAATACAGACAAAATGAAGGTAATCCTACAAGAAAAAGACAGTGGGAGTATGATCCTACATTGTATAGTCAATGCAAGGATTATCCTACACCATATAGACGATGTGAGCATGATCCTACATGATAAAAACGATGTGAGGATGATCCTACATCATACAGACAATGTGAGCATGATCCAACATCATCCTGACAATATGATGATTTTTCTATGAAAATATGAGTAACATCCTACATGCTACAGACAATGTGAGGATGATCCTACATCATATAGACGATGTGAGCATGATCCTACATGATAAAAACGATGTGAGGATGATCCTACATCATACAGACAATGTGAGCATGATCCAACATCATCCTGACAATATGATGATTTTTCTATGAAAATATGAGTAACATCCTACATGCTACAGACAATGTGAGGATGATCCTACATCATATAGACGATGTGAGCATGATCCTACATGATAAAAACAATGTGAGGATGATCCTACATCATACAGACAATGTGAGCATGATCCAACATCATCCTGACAATATGATGATTTTTCTATGAAAATATGAGTAACATCCTACATGCTACAGACAATGTGAGGATGATCCTACATCATATAGACGATGTGAGCATGATCCTACATGATAAAAACGATGTGAGGATGATCCTACATCATACAGACAATGTGAGCATGATCCAACATCATCCTGACAATATGATGATTTTTCTATGAAAATATGAGTAACATCCTACATGCTACAGACAATGTGAGGATGATCCTACATCATATAGACGATGTGAGCATGATCCTACATGATAAAAACGATGTGAGGATGATCCTACATCATACAGACAATGTGAGCATGATCCAACATCATCCTGACAATATGATGATTTTTCTATGAAAATATGAGTAACATCCTACATGCTACAGACAATGTGAGGATGATCCTACATCATATAGATGATGTGAGCATGATCCTACATGATAAAAACAATGTGAGGATGATCCTACATCATACAGACAATGTGAGCATGATCCAACATCATCCTGACAATATGATGATTTTTCTATGAAAATATGAGTAACATCCTACATGCTACAGACAATGTGAGGATGATCCTACATCATATAGACGATGTGAGCATGATCCTACATCATACAGATTAAGATGATTCTCTATGGCACTGACTTTTTGAGGATGATCCTACAGGTACAATGTGAGGTTGATTCTACAGGTACAATGTGAGGACGATCCTACAGTACAATGTGAGGACGATCCTACAGGTACAATGTGAGGACGATCCTACAGGTACAATGTGAGGACGATCCTACAGGTACAATGTGAGGACGATCCTACAGGTACAATGTGAGGACGATCCTACAGGTACAATGTGAGGACGA